AAAAAGGGTGCGCGTAGATAAAGAGGGTGGTGCGGGAAGTTCTGCCTTTTTTTTACAGTCAGTTTTTAAGTGCCCGTTTTTTGGGCTGGTAATTCCCGTTTTTGGAAATTTCTTCAAGATTGGATTCGATCCGCCGTCAAAACGATTACTCAAAATTTTTGTTCCCTACGGTGCGTTTAGTAAAGGTATCTTCACTTAGTTAGTGCCTACCTACTCTGAACTCTCGTTACCTTTGAAGGTTTGAGCCGGTCCCGGGAATACCTAAGTAGAGAATTTGTGCGATTACTACCTAGGTGGATGGGTTTTATCATGGCAAAGCAAATCTACAGAAAAACCGACATAGGGCGCGCGCGCGCTCTTTCTCCCGGAATCAAAGTTTCTCCCTCTCTCCCTTATCCTCTCCGTCTCCCTCTTCCCCAGAGCTAGAGGTATCCAACCCATCATCATCATACAACTCATCCGGCTCATCCCAATGATCCCTCCCCAACCCTCTCTCCCTCAGCGCTTTCAGCAACAACTCAATCTTTTCCTTGCCCTGATTATTCTCGCCCAACTCCTCCGCCACCATGAGCGGCGTCTTCTTTTCGGCTTTGTCGCCATGACCATCGTCCCGCAACATCTTGGCCCCGCGATCCAGCAGCAGCTTCACCATTTCCGCGTCCCCCCACCGAATCGTCTCGTGCATCAAGACCACCTTTCTCACCCAGCGTTCCGATCCCGATGCCGCTCCACCTACCCAATTGAGCTCGTAGTGCATAGAATTGAGCGTCTCCTCCAAGATGCCCCAAGGCTCGCCGAGCAGGAATTCCAGCATTTCCCTGTCGCCCGGATGACACGCGGCGGATGGCAAGAGGTCCCTGAGGCGGTCGGGCTTGCTGAGGGCGTCCCTCACCGATTTCAAGTTCAATGAAACCAAGACGTACTTGATCATCTCGATGCAAAACTCATTGTTGGCCGTCGCCCACGCCGGGCTATGCGGGTACCCCGCGTTCAAAATCTCCCTCCCCGACGCCAGTTCCTGGATGGTCCGCCTCCGACCGGCCGAGGTGTCGAGGTATCCCACCTCCCGAAAGGCGTTGAGCAGGTCCTTGGCGGCGGCGGACCACGCGTCCCGCCCGCCGTCGTGTTCCGAGGGTGGGAAGCGCAGCGTGGAGAGGCCGCGGACCTTGGGGTGGCGCCACCCGCCCCGGATCAGCGCGGCTTCGACGGCGTGGGGGAGCAAGGACGGGGTGCTGGAGCCGTCGGCGATCCAGTCGCGGAAGAAGCGGATGCGTGGCTCTTTTTGAGTGTCGCCAGCGTCCATGTCGGCACGGGAGCCGGATAAAGCGAGGAGCTTGTACAAGTTGTAGTACTGTTTTTGCCCAGAGACGGGGTTGTATTGGCTCCAGCTTGACCCGATCCCTTTCACTTCGGTCGTGACCATGAGGAGCTCTCGCAGCGGGTGGGACCGTTTCGTAATGGGGAGAGGTGGTCGGGCAGTCTGGCAGCCACCGAAGTGAAAGCTTCCACGAGGTCGTCGTGTCCTGGCCCCAAGAGGGCTCGCCAAGGCGATTCGACCGCGTTCATGGCTGTCGGGTATGCATCCCGGTCGCCACGGAGGTAAAAGTCCAATAGGTCAGGAAGCTCGGTTTGGGGCCCGAGGGTGAGGGAGAGGAGGGTGATGAGGGTGGGGAGGAATTTGCTCTGTCGTGGTTCATGCTGTTGTGTTTGTATTGTTTGGTTGCCGTGGTCGTGGCTAGCGCCGTCACTGCCACCGGAGGAGGGAAGAAGATCAAAGACAACGTAGTACCGCTTCGGGGTGATGAAGCCCATATCAGCGGCGGGATCGCTCGCCAAGAACTGCACGCCGAGCGTGTCCGGCACGTCGGCCGAATAGACCCGGTCCGGGTCAAACCCTTGCACCACCACCAATTCTTTCTTGGACTCGGAGCGGTTCTGGTCCTGCTGCTGCACATGCTGCTCCTTAAACGTCAACACATACGAAGACACCTCACTACTGCGTTGCTCCAGGAGTTCCGGCGTCCCGACGTAAAAGGCGAATGACTTGGGCCCGCTTAGGTCGCCGCTTTGGGGGAGGTGGCCGCGGCCGCGGCCCTCGCCGGGACAGGGGATACCGGGCATCAGACCTTGCTGCTCCAAACGGATTTTGCTTGTAAAGGTTTTGGACGAGAAGAAGGAGGGTGAGTAGCTAGAGTAAGTGGTGGAAATGTTGAAGAAAATAAAGGTGGAGGCGGCAGCGGAGAAAGTAAAACCGCCCCAGAGGATGATTCGTTTCGTAAGCATGAGGTGGCACCTCGTAGTTGATCGTGTAAGAGAGATGTTAATGTGTTTCTTGAGATATACGGCTTAGGCCCTGGCTTTATCGATGTTGCTTTTGCGGGGTGGCAGTGATTTGCCTCGGCGAGGGCCACGAGAGGCCGCCTCGGGGGCATTGCCTCACCCTTGGTCCTCTCTGTCTCCATACTGTATATTTGCTGCTAATCCATACCCGAATGAGCCTAACGCTGTAGAATAAGGTAGTACCGTTGTACCGGTGCATACTGGCCTGACTGGGTACCGGCGAGCATACTAGCGCAAGGCGAACACGGAGGGCAACAACAAGAGCCAAAGATTGACTGTGACCGGAGGACAGCATTCGGGTACCTCCAAGGACATGGAAACATGAAAGAAAAGATTCGAAGAAAAGTTCTCAACTACATGTTCCCTAGCTGATTTCCGATGCCTTTCCGATACGTCCAGTCCCGGACGGGTCCTTATCCGTTCCGCGGTTCCAAGTGGACTCGCAGGACTTATTCTGGAACTGCATCAAATGGCAAAGAACGAGTCGGTCAGCGTGACAAAAGGACTTGAACTTTGGAAGCCACACTTTTGTACACTCCACTAACCACACTACATGTACCCTGTAGTCCTATTCCTCCCTAATACGTACAAACGGAATAACAACAGACTGAGAGGCAGCCGAAGGGGTATTGGTGCTCGTTGTCACCGCATCACTGTTTCCACTTGACAATACAGCAGTTGTAATCGCAGTTGTTGTTGCACTTGCAGTTGCAATTGCAATTACAGTACCTGAGGAACTTAAACTCGAACTCGAAAAAGAAGCTGAATCGAGTTCCATCGTATTGGTGGAACTGATCTCAGCAGACTCGGAGCCGGTGTCTACCATGGTGTCGTTGTCGTCGATGTCTTGGGCAGCTGTCGCAACCGCCATCATGACATCCGCCGCCTGAGTGGCACGAGCCATGGTTGCAATGGTGCTGTAGGTCGGTCGGTAATTCGGTATGGAAACACAGTACTCGTAGTCTTGGTACAGACCCGTGCCTATCAATTTTATCTTGTCAGTACAAAAGATGATGGTGTAGGTTGCGTAAACCAAACCCACAATTTTGGTAAACTTGGGGATTCCAAGCGACAAAGCGTGCATGGCTGAGACCGAAATTTGTCTCGATGATTTCACACGGGTTATTGATCCCTAAAAAAGAAGACAAAAGTCAGCCATCGGACAACTTGAACAGCGTAGGAACAAAGTATGTCCCCGAACTCACATGCGGTTGTGTTAGGCATGACAAATTTGTTGCAAGTTGATATGATGCCGGGCTGACGATATCCCCAAACGGCCACGCAATATTCGGTTCCTATAAGATATCATACCGGCCAAATTAGAACCGCGACTCGCATCCGGGAGCATTGGCAGGCAACTAGTGGTACGTAGAGTACCTAAGCAGGGGAGTGGGAACATACCTGGTTCGTAGTCCTCGCAATCCACGCCCACGCTGGGATTCCAGGCCACGAACTGACCAAAGTCAATCCCTCGTGTTGAAGCAAACTGTTTGCATGTGTAAGCCGCAGTTGCGAGCTCTTTGCGAAGACAATACTCGGTAGCATGTTCTTCCTCCAGGCGAAAGCGTTGGACACAATAGCGGTAGTTCGTGCTCACTTGGCACGAGGCCTCGTCGCTTTCTTCCAACGTGAGGTTCCACTCAATAAGATTGGCAACGGTTACGCCATAGATGCGAGCTATATCTGAGCATCTGGTTGATGAGTTATGGCGGGATACGTCGAGGAATACCGGTGGATTGAGGTAATTCACGCAATCCCTATAGGTCCCGTTGGCTATCGGCCGCATTGTGGGCTGTGCTGCGGTGGAATTGCTGGTCACAGTAGCCGTCATGGTGTTGGCAGGAAAGTCCACGGTGCCGAATGGGGTCCAGTCTCTGGTATCCGTTTCTGTGCTATTTCACCCGAAGTGGTGACAGCATTAGTACCGCAGAAACTACTCAAGGTAAACTTGGATACCCAGGTAGTGGCACTTACGAAGTATCGGCCGTTGTTTCGGGTGGTGCAGGGCTCGGATCGATTCATGGGCCTCCAGGGTTAGACGTGCAGATGACATAGCCAACATGTTCCTCGATGTTGTCGCAGCTGATTCCCAGTTCGGGGTTCCATGATGCCAGCCCATTCCAACCGACCCCTATGGAATCGGCAATGCTCACGCAAGTGTCGGTCTCTTGTACCACGTATGGGATGCACTGCCTTGCTGTGACAAGGGCAGTATTCT